TCCACTCACAGAAACAATGATTTATCTGATTATCTCCTTATTGATTTAATCAGGAGGATTACATTTTTAAAACACCTCAGAGGACATTTTTACATCACTTTGAATATGAACAACAACATTTATTCTGACTAACTCATTTCTTTAAGTGTGATTTTATAGATTTTCTACAAATGTACAAAGTGGTGAGAAGAGAAAATCAGCATGAAAGAAAAGTTTGCTGCTCTCTCTCTCTCTCTCTTCAGACTCCTGAATCAGAACAGAAACAACAGAAAATATAAATGTATGAAAACAAATAATCAAACATGGAGAGCAGAGAGAAGTTGATATTTATCACTCAGAAATGTCAGTTCAGGTGAACAAAAGTCATCCTGAGCAGTGAAAGAGTCCACGGCTAAACAGACACAGGAAGGAGTGTCACTTAAAGACACTCAAACATTTACAGAACAGACGAGAAGAGGTCAAAGTACCGCCCATAAAGTTTGATTGACAGGTGACCACGATCAGATCTCAGCAACGAGCGTGGATAAAAATCAAGTTGAAGATTTAAAACACAGCAAGTTAAACATCTGTCTCGTTAATGACTTCTGTCTATTTCAGTTTACACAACTCAGCAGAGTCTCCAACAAAATAATAAACCTGAGTCCAGCATGTAGAGGCTGAGTGAATGTGGTCTGGACTCTGTGGAGGAGAGTCATGGTTTCAGAGATGCTGTAGAAGGACAGAATACCTGCTCTGTGATCCAGGTACACTCCTACTCTGGAGGACTGAGGACCTGAGACAGGAGTCTTGACATTGTTGTAATAAAAGTTATAACTGTTGTTGTTAAAATATAACGACCAAGATTTGTCATTACGTCCAAATACACACTCATTCGATCTCCCTGCTCTGCTGATATTCTTGTATGTGACTGCTACACAAACTCCTCCTCTCTCTCGACTTCCCAGTAACAACGTCCAGTCAGACTCTCTTTACTCAGGACCTGAAACATCCAGTGAATCTGTCTGGGTGACTAGAATAAGGATTGGTCTGACTCGTTAATGTTACTTTTCTGTTCCATCAGATAATAACAGCTGTGTGTGCTGTGTTTGGATCCAGTGTGATGTCACATGAATATTTTAAGAACTCAGCTCTGGTCTTGGGCTCTGGTTCTGACAGTAAAACATCCACTTCAGTCACTGTCTGTGAGATGTTTGTCCATTTCTCTCTCAGGACGTCCTGTAGTTTATCTCTGACTTCTGACACAGCCGCTGTCACGTCCTCAAAGAACCTCAGAGGACGGATCTTGATGCTGGATGAGTGTGTAGATTCACTGAGTGGTGACAGTGAGGGTAGTCGTGTAGAAACTGGTTGTGGTCCTGTGTGTGTGACAGCTTCTTCATCTCAGCGTCTCTCCTCTTCAGCTCAGTGATCTCCTGCTCCAGCTTCTCCTGAAGCTCTCTGACTCGACTCACTTCAGTTTGCTGCTGGGATCTGACCTGCTGCTTCACATCAGAGCGTCTTTTCTCCATGAGACGGATCAGCTCAGTGAACATCTTCTCACTGTTCCCCACTGTTTTATCAGCGGAGCCATTGATAGCCTCCACCTCCTGTTGGAGCAGCTTCACATCTTTCTCTCTGTCCTGGATTCTCTGCTGGATGTTTTGTCGACTCACCTCCAGCTCTCTCTGCTTCTCGCTCCTTTCTGCTGCAGCTGAGACTGTGTCATGACCTTTGTGTTCGTCCACAGCAGAGATAACAGATAGACTGCTGATCAGTGCGACAAAATCTTCATCACCTCATCATGACGAGAGCAGACGTTCTCCTGGAGCTTCTTGGAGGGCTCCACCAGCTTGTGTTTCTTAAATGGAGCTGCTTCATAATGAGGCTGGAGGTGTTTCTCACAGTAAGAAGCCAGACACTGCAGACAGGACTTACAGGCTTTCAGTTTTCTCCCGGTGCAGACATCACAGGCCACATCTTCAGATCCAGCATAGCAGTGATCAGCAGGAGCAGCTTGGAGTCCAGTCTTCTTCAGCTCCTCCACTAAATCTGCCAACATGGTGTTTTTCCTCAGGTCAGGCCTCGCTGTGAAGGTCTGTCTACACTGAGGGCAGCTGTAGACTGTCTTCTCATCCTCTGTATCCCAGTGGCTTTTAATACACTTCATGCAGTAACTGTGTCCACAGGGAACAGCCACCGGATCCTTCAGGAGATCCAGACAGATCGAACAAGAGAAGGTTTCCCGGTCCAGCTGAACTCCTTTCTGCGCCATTTCTCCTCTCGGTAACAACGACTGTCTGAGATTCACTTCCTCATAACTGAAAACAAGTTTCACCTCTGATCTACAAAGCATGTGTCTGTGCATGTGACTGTGCAGGTGTTGTTGGTTACACCCATCCTCAAACTGTAGATCTAAAGGGGAGGGAACCAGGAAGTATGAGGACAGAGTGCAGCAGGCTGTGTTTGAGAGCAGGAAGAAGAGGGAGGGCTGATCGAACTACGATTCATTCCAGGAAGAGGAGCGGTTTGAGAGAGATACTTGTTTACAACAGAGAACATTTCTCAACCAGCAGTATCGTCACAATTAACCACGGTGTGGGTTGAATATTTGACCCATTCAGCTGGGTTAAACAGGTAACCCTGTGTGTTTACATGCTCCTAATTTAATCCAGCAGTGTTTAACAAAATATCAGAGTTTATCCATTCAGCTTCAGCAGTAAAACAAAGACCAAGAGGAACAAGGATTTCAGATTATGTAAATAACTAAAAAAAGATAGTAGCAATAAAAAAAGCTAAGATCAAATAAAAACACAGAACAGCAATAAAATACAGGAGGGGGGGATGTGAAGGTTGTTTATAATATGTTTTGATTTGTAGTTTTTACCTGCAGTTAAAGATCGTTTTGTATTAAATGGCACCTTAAATCAGATTTCCCTGAGCTGCATTTACAAGAGCTCACCAGCAGGTGTCAGTGTGGCCACAATGTGAAACAAAACTGCTCTCATTGTTCTCTGAGGGATAAGTTCTGATTTCTGATTTTACATGAAAAAAAAAAAAGGAAATACAAGTTGCACCTGAAAAAGGCTGCAGGAAAAAATATGCATTTGTCCTAAAGGAAGTGATTGATCTTAAGTTTAAATCATGAGCAAGTTCTCATCTTCACTTCATTTATATAAAGTAGCCTCCATAAGAAGACACACGTTCAAAGAAAAATAACTTGAATGACCAGACTCTTCTGTTTCTTGTCTCTCCAGAGAAGGTTTTTAGAAATGTAATAAGTACCTTCATGTCGACTCAGTATTCTCCCAGGTGAGTGCACACCTTCCTCCGGTTCTCTGCAGGAAGTCCAGACTCAGACTACATTTGTTCACCAGAGTCTGAAACTCTACAGGTGACATCAGCACCATGAAGTTAGATCGAAAGGTAATGAAAATATTTCAACACTCAAATGTGACATGTAGTCTGTAGTTGTCATGTAGTCCAACCGTTAGAGAGGAAAGCCCCGCCCACATCAGGTTTTCATAATGCTGCATTCAGGCTCCGTCAGACATTTTGCACTTTAACTTTGATAAATCACTTTTCAAGTTCAAACGTAAACAAGTGATAATTTCCGATTGTACCATTTCATATAATTCCTACAATCATAGTTTGGCACCAATTGAACACAAGACAAAACTGTTTATGATGTAATAAGGCGGGAAAAAGCAGAAAGTTGTAGATTAATTAGGCTACGGTAACAAATGATGTTCTCCTTTTTTTTTTATCAATGCTTTAACTTCTTTTCGTTTAATCATTTCTCCTTTTTAACTTTGCTTTGATTTTAAAGGCCACATGCCAAACAAAGAGGAGAACACAGATTTGAGTCATGGTGGAATCTATCAAACTGTCAAAAGATTAAAAGCAAATGTGAATGAAAAAAATACATTTCTAAACAGTTTAACCAAAGTCCTTGAATGAATTCATTGTCAGAGGGTTTGCTTTGTTATTTTGTGATCCAATGATATTTTATCTAATCAGACATATTTCTGGTGTTTCATGTTAATCTTCTCTAAATAACAAACGTCTCTGCTGCTCTCTGATTTCACCGTCAGTCGATGTTGTTGCTCTCAGCCAGCGCAGCTCCAAGTCCTGATGTGCTCCTTCCCATGGGAAACATCTGCAGACCCTAAAAAAGCTTCACAAGTCAACACCCAGCACACATGACGGAGCTGCTGTGGAGCTCAGAAGATGAAAGAAATGCTCAGAGACTGAAGTACACATTCTTATTGGAGGAATCCTAAGGTCTAAAGGATGAGCATAGTGCAGGGCATTTTCCTTATTTAGAAAATGTCAACTTCTATGATTTCAATAGGCCTTTATTGGTCATAATGGGAAGATGATTCCCATAATATGTTACATAAAATACATTATTTAGTGAGCTGTTAAAGGAGCATGCAGCTTTGTGATGACTTGTTATGAATTGTTGAACCACTGGGGTTGGATCTCTGGTGTCTTATAAACCCATGAGTTGTCTTCAAAGATTTTAAAAGCAGCCTAAAGGACCATTTGACGACTGTATCACATGTTTCTCTGTTTAAAGCTCCTGATTGGTTCAATGATGTAATATTTGTTTATCGTCTGTCTTTTGTTCTCTGTCTGAAACTCTTGTATGCTGCTGTCTTGGCCAGGACTCTCTGGTGTTGTATCTCAAAGAGAATCTCCTCCTGGTAAAATAAATGTCAAATGAAATGAAATAAATAAAAATGAGGATTGGGCGCTTTGTAAGCATGACACATAAAAAAAGAACAATCAATCAATCAAATAGTGACGGCCAAAGGAAATTAAGCACATGATCTAAATTTGAAAGAAATCATATTAATTTGGAAAGATTCATTAAAAAAATGAGCATTAGAGACTCTTTTATAGAATAGAATAGAATAGAATAGAAATACTTTATTGATCCCAAACTGGGAAATTGAGGCGTTACAGCAGCAGGTTATCCAAACACACAATATGAGCAAAAAACACAATATAATATTAAATACAAAGTAAATAAGCACTAAAAATATCAAAACTAAGAATGAGAATATATACAACCAGGATTTAACTTAGCATTACTAGTCTAAATAAGAAAGATTAAATGTAAATGTGCAAAAACAGAGTTGTAAATGGACAGTATTGACATAAGTTAAAGTGCATGAGTGTAGACATATTAAACATTAGACTTTATAACATTAAAGTCTCTTGTTAAAAAAACAACAAATAAGGACTTTTATTATTTATTTAGATACTCTGCGCTTTGGTCATTATTTCTTCTTATTCTATTTCTATTTCTATTTTTATTCTATATTCTATTTCTTAGGGCTGGGCACGTTAAGGCGTTATTTTCACATTAACTCATTAATTAATTATCGCTGACAATTATTTTATCTCACATTAACGCAGTTTTTATTGTTTATTTTCTTATTGTAAAAGTCTGTTGCTCACTGGCTTTTATTTTGTAAAATTCCATCGTGAGCGAGCCTCGTATGTTGCTTACTGCTGCGCATGTCTGCTGCGCATGTCTGCTGCGGCGCTCACAGGAAAGAGGGAACAGTGTTGCCAATTTGGCGACTTTCTCGCTAAATCTGGCGACTTTCCAAACCGCCTTGGCGACTTTTTTTGTCAACAGCTACTATCGACAAATCTAGCGACTTTTTCTGGTGTTATTGGAGACTTTTTTGGTGTTAGAAACTGACGTGAAAGCACGTATTGCTCTGCAGTTACTCAACGAGCAGCGGGTGCTGCCGTTAGCCCCTCCCCCTTCCTAAAGCATCACAGGCTGTCAGTGTAGCCTCGAGCAGCAGACCCAGCTGCAGTCAGAGAGGAGACCCACACCACTCTGCGTCCACACTGCAACCAATGCAATAAGCTTTAGTTTTGTATTTATTTGCTTTGATTACATTGTTTAAGTTGAGAAGTACATTTACAATAAAAGTGCGTTATACACTACTTTTGAATTCATTATTGGATTTTGCGCATAACAATGCGATTAATCGCGATTAATCACAGGAACTCATGCGATTAACGCGATTAAAACTTGTAATCGTTGCCCAGCCCTACTATTTCTACATTGTGTTTGAGAGCTACTGTATTCGTCGTATGTCAGATTCTTATTGTTCCCACGGCACTTAAAGGCAACACCGGCATACTCTTACGCAATTGGACGAGAAGTGGGAGAGAGGCGTGGCCACACCCTTTGTAACCCGACACCGGACCCATGCGCTGCGTTGACTGTAAACTTTCACCATGAGCTCCGCCAGTCGGGCTCGGCGAGCGGAGGACCGAGTGTGTCCGCTGTAACGGGACTCCCCGGTGCTCCTTATTATGTCTTATTGACCTTTTCAATCGGGATTTTTTTTACTGGACAAGTGAGAGATTAATTTAAAGTTTGTGTTGGAGTCATGGAGGCTGTTAGCAAGTGGAGCCCGCAGCAGGTGGTGGACTGGATGAGAGGTAACGGATGACTAATGTTATCTTATCAGGGGTCTCTCTCCTGCTGTGCTGTTTGATTTAACTTTTACATCATTTATCAATTATCACATTTCAAATGTTTACTTATTTATATACTAGTGTTATTATTATTTTTTAAGTGGGATGGTTTACATACTCATGACATATGAATTTGGACTGGTGTTTTGATGTTACTGGTTTGTTTGATTGTTTTCTTTTTGTTTTTATAGTTTGCTTTATGTATGTCTTTTCGTTTTGTCACGTTGGTGTTTTACTTTTGGAAAAATAAAGTACAAAAAAAAACATTTAAATGTTACAAACTGTGAATGACCAAATACATTTATTTAATTCAATATTTCGTTTTTGGTAATTAAATTAAAAAAATTGCGACTGATTTCATTTGAAATCCACAATAATACAAAGTTAAACCTTCTATCTTTTACTTAAAATTAAACTTTTGGTTTAACAACCGTAGTAAATCCCATAAAGTATATTAACAATACATTTAGGTATAAATCCACTGTCCTGTATAATAACAAGTCATTTAAAATGGATAAACGTCATGATTTTATTTATCAGCTGTAACATTTGAGTAATAACAATATTGTTATAATAATTTCCCTCCATTTAGACATATGTTACTCTGAGACTAGTTTCTCTACTATATGTTTTGTAGTTAGGCCTGCACGATATGAGAACAATATGCGGTAACATTGTTCTGTATTGCGATAACGATTTGAAGTGCGATAAGTAAATTAATTTATTAAACTAAATCTGCAGACATCGAGTTAAAATCATGAGCTATCAAAAATTACGATTACAAACATGTCCAAACATTAATAACTGACTTTCAGTTGTTGTCCCTTTTATGCAAAAACCCTTATTTGAATTTAACTGGTTAGCAGCATTACAAAAGCAGCATTCATAAAAATCACAAATGACATCAGTTTAAACTTTAGATATCTTGTCCTTAAGCAACTTTACAGCGAGTATAAGTCCAAAAACTTGTTAGATCTTGTATTTTAATAGGTTTAAAACAGCTTCTTTACTCTTCAGACATGAGGTTGTAGCTGGTTTAATCAACACATCAGTCTGTACATAATAAAGCACTGTACTTTGATTTAACATGTAGTATAATACTTATCCCTCTGTTGTGATGGTTCAGGTAAATTGGGCGTAAATGAGCTCAGGTCAGGCTGCAGGTTGTCACCTTGTTTACCTTTTTTTATGACATTACCTGTCCTCTGTTTGGATAGATACATGATGAGAGAGCACACACACTACGCTGGTTGGTATTACGAGCACTCTATAAAATTCATATCAGCGTGTCATAAAGAAATAAACAGGCCCGACCAGTTAACAGGTCAGCCATAAAGTGACAATCAGGCTCATGATCCAGGTGTGATAACGACCTGTTTTTAATTACTGAGAGGTTTGGACAAGAAGCAGCAGCAGGAGGAGGAGTGTGTGTAGACGCTCTGTTTTGATTCTATAAATGCATAAGGATTTTTTTATAGAGAAAAACCCCCTCAGTCGCCAAATGCTGGAACATTTTCCTTTTGGCAAGTAAATATCGGCGGCCTCTCTGCCACGTGGCGGGTAGCCGGACCAGGCTGTTGCATTGATTAAAGCTTTGCTAATTGGGAATGATTTTGCTCATAAAGAGTTTTACCTTGAGCTTGTGTCGGACTCAAAGTTTGACTTTTAATGTGAAAGAAAAAGACAATCAGAATAAGTAATCTTAAACAAAGATTAATATGACTCATATTAATGAGACGCCTGCAATATGAGTCATGCAGGCGTCTTTTTTTTGGATTCCTCTTCAGGTATATGGATGCTAAAGTTCTGGGGGCCGCCGAGCCCCTGACTTTGGTGGCCAAAGTGCACTAGTGGAGGCCCTTTGGTAAATAAAGCCGGCTGCTATCCAGCTGGTTGCTGTCTAGTGAAACTTTCAGTGCCACAAACTTTTCCCACTTGGGCTGCATTTAAATGATTTCTGCTTTTTGTGACTTTAGAGAACCTTACAGTGGACAGCGGTTTGCTTGAGGCTCAACACTGCGAACCCAAACCACTCCCAGAGGACTAATAGAAGTATACGAGCATGCTGCCATGTTGACATTAGGCGTGTGTTTGGAGATTAAACTCTCATTATTATTAGACAGAAGCTCAGGGAGTTGGTGTAGGCTTGTAGGCTCTGTACTGTGATTCACCAAGCACGTTCATCAGATTCCACGCGTTTTAAAGCAAAACGATTATTTCGGTGTCTCACGATTCGTTTTGTTTTGGATTCTTGGGGCCACGATTCAGAGTCTATTTTTGATTCAAAACGATTCTGGATCCATGGATTCAAAGTCTATTTTTGAATGAGCACATACTTCAGGATCTCCTCCAGTCATCTGGGAGACTGGCTGAATTTCTTGCTGCTCCATTTGACTTCTACTGAGTTAAAGATGTAGCCTTAGCACTTAGCAGGGAGTGACTGGTTAGCCAACAAAAGAAAAGTTATGAATCTATCTAAAATCTCAGAAGATAAGAATCTCGACTTTTACATAAATCCTTAAGTGGTCGGTTCAAATACAAAAGTCGTCAAATACTGATAATATTTGCATCCCGTTTTGTCGTCTTAGTAAGACACAAAAGTGTATGAGTATGTTTCTTACGGGCAGTCGGAGAGCAGAGGAGGTGACGCTGGCTAAATCAGGGACGAAACATTGTTTTTTTTGTTCATTTTAATAAAAGAAATGAACCAGAACTTCTGTTTTGTTTTCACCCAACGCTGTGAATGTAACTCAAATGTTCACCGTGTAGCTCTGACAGTCGGCCCCACGTCTCTGAGAGACTTTTTCTCTATGGCTCGAATTTACTGATGTGAGAAAGTGAGCGTCCATTCAGCGCCGCTCGTCCTCCCCGACAGCTAACACACAAACACATACCGACACACACGTCATTTAGCAGCGGGGACAACGCAGAGCTGAGTGTCGGCGGCGGTCAATAAAGGCTCAAACATTCCCGCCTCTTCACTGAGGGTCGGCCTCCTGCTGTTTGGAGGGTCAGGGGGTCACTGTGACTCTTTACTGTGGAGGCGGTGTTGTTTAACCACTCCAACATGATCCCACTTTTGTTCTGCATGAAAAGATGACAACACACAGGGTCAGTCACATGACCCCCAACGGCTTCATTAAGCTCTGCCTCGCCCTGGGCTTCCTGTCACTTTCTGTGTTGTCTGATTCTGATCAAACAATCAGAACTTTATTGCAACATGTTTCTCATGTGATTCAACCAC